TATATATATATATATATATATATTTATATATAAATAAAAAAGAAAAACAAAAGCAAAACAAAAAGGAAATGAAAAACACAAATAAAGCATTAAAAATAAAGCCATAAATACTACCTTATAATATGTTTAATTTAAGTTGTATATATACAAATAAAATAAAATGTTTTAAAAATAAAATAAAACACAATTGAATTAAATTAAATTAATTTAAATGAAAAACTTTATTTAAAAATATAAAACATAAAAATTAAACAAAAAAGTAAAAACAAAAGCAAAACAACCATGAAATGAAATAAACACAAATTAAGCATTAAAAAAGTTAGGCAATAATATGTTATATTATACTAAATTACAATTTAATACAAAAAATAAATAAAATAAAAATTTCGCAAAAAAATGAAAAACACAAATTAAGCAATAAAATAAAGCAATACATTAAAATAATATTTTAAAATTATAATTTTATTATTTGAAAAATTATATTTAATTAATAATATGATATAAAATATTGTAAATTAAAAAATAAATAAATAAATAAAACACATTTTCCTAGTGATCCAAGTTTCCTATAAAATTTGACGTGCTTAAACAAAAAACAAAACAAAAAAATATATATATATATATACAGTTAACCCTTCTCTTACAGTAATGCTGAGTATGAACAAAATAGATTTGAGCTGAACTGTACAGGCAGGAACAGACTGCTGATATTATTAATGTACATATAATAAGCTGTAGTCCCTGAGGCCTTTCTTTCTCATATATATATTACTGTATAATCTCCAGTTCAGTCTGGGGTGATGATCTTATGAAGCTCTGCATATTAAGATGGATCTTTGAACTGTCCCTAGCAATTATCTGGACTAAATTATCTTATGTTTAACTGCCGCTCTTCACTCTAGGAAGATCTTCATGAACCATCAGAATTGAAATAACATACGAGACGGTGATGATTGTAACACACTAAGATAAGAAATATTTCAATGTAAATTAATTATTCATTTTAATATCCTGATTGATATTAAATATAAACTCGTGTAGCAAAAAAAAAAGAAAAGAAAAAATGGTCTAGAATAAAAAGGCTACTAAATTATGTGAACAAATTAATCAACAAACAAACAAAAACTATTGACTATTACTCAAGATAGTGTGTATGTATGATAATATTAAAACATTGTGAAATGTAAAATGTGAAAAAAAAAATGTAAACAATGTGGAAAAATGTATGAGAACTTGTGATTTTATGTAACTAAATTAAATATAACAATTATTAAATATAATCAATTTAAATAAAAAAATAATAATAAATAAATCAATAAATCAATAAATAAATAAATAAATAAATAAATAAATAAATAAATAAATTTAAGCTAAGAACAACTGTGTAAACATTTTAATGAAGGAAAGAAGGATAGATGAATGGAAGGGAAAAAATGGCAAAAAATATCGAAAGAAAGAAAGAAAGAAAGAAAGAAAGAAAGAAAGAAAGAAAGAAAGAGAAAGAGAAAGAAAGAACGAAAGAAATAAATGGAGGGAGGGATAAATGAAAGATGGAAAGATGGATGGATTAAAAAATAGAAAAATATGGAGGAAGGAAAGATGTATGGATAGAACATGGTGGAATGATTAAAAGAAGGAAGAAATAGAAAGAAATTAAGAAAGAAAGAGAAAGAAAGAAAGAAAGAAAGAAAGAAAGAAAGAAAGAAAGAAAGAAAGAAAGAAAGAAAGAAAGAAAGATGGATGGATGGATGGATGGATGGGTTGACGGAAAAAAGAAAAAAGGATGAAAAGCGGAATAAAAGAAAGTGAGGAAGTGAGGGAGAGATGAAAAAAGAAAGGAAGGATGAATGGATGGATGGAAGGAAGAAAGAAATAATTAAAGAAAAAAGAAGGAAAGAAAGAATAAAGAAATAAATAAAGAAAGAGGTAGAAAATGGGAGAAATGAAGGAAGGAATGATGGATGGAAAGAAAGAAAGAATGAAAGAAAAAAAGAAGGAAATAAAGAAATAAAGAGCTAGAAGATAGGAAAAATAAGGGAAGGAAGAAATGATGGATGGATGGATGGATTATTTGTTTATTTTTATTTTTATTCTAGAGTTTATCTCCTGTAAATGTTGCAGATTTTACTGCTTGGATGTTTTGTTGGACATCTACAATGTAAGCATCACTGCTGCTTGTGCATCTACACTTTACTCACGTTCAGCTGGAGATTTTCTGTCCACTGCCCAATAACTTTATATCCAGGAGTGTTGTTGATGTTCATCTGGTACTGGAAGAGATCGTATCGTCCCGGTGCGTCTCCGTTGTTATTGAACACCACCATCGTTCCTGCGCTCCCTGTGAAACACACCAAACCAAACCATACTTAAAAACATTGCTTACCTGTCAAAAATTAAGAAACTGTTCTGTCAAGAAACGTGCCTTGCGAACATCAAAACTAATTTGTTTTACAGAAAAACTCAAAATTAAACAATATGCAAAACTGCAATGAATAAAAGAAAATGAATTACTGACATTTTTTGTCTCACAGAAAAAAAGAGAATAGGTTTGACAATAAAACAACGAAAAAAAAAAAGTCTGACATGCCTACAAGCAATCAAACACAAAGAAAATAAATAAAAACAAAAAAAAAATTCAATAACAAGGAAAAATCTAAATAAAAACATTGGGGAAAAAAAGAAAAAGAAAAAGAAAACACACAATGAAAAACAAACAAACAAACAACCAAACAAAAACAGACAAACCAACAAAGCAGCACAAAGCCAAACAAAAGACAACAACATAAAAAACAAGAAAAAACAAAAAACAGACCAACACAACAAGACACACAGACAAACAAAACAAAACAAAACAAGAAAAAAAAAACAGACCAACACAATAAGACACAGACAAACAAAACAAAACAAAACAGGAAAAAACTAAAAACAGACCAACACAACAAGACACACAGACAAACAAAACAAAACAAGAAAAAAAAAAACACAACAAGACACACAGACAAACAAAACAAAACAAGAAAAAAAGAAAAACAGACCAACACAACAAGACACACAGACAAACAAAACAAAACAAGTCAACAAAAACAAGACAAACAAAACAAGACAGACAATAACAAAACAAGACAACACAAGACAAGACAGAAACAAAACAGACTAACACAAACAAGACATGACAAGACAGACAAAACAAAACAAACAAAACAAAACAAAACAAAACAAAACAAAACAAAACAAAACAAAACAAAACAAAACAAAACAAAACAAAACAAAACAAAACAAAACAAAACAAAACAAAACAAAACAAAACAAAACAAAACAAAACAAAACAAAACAAAACAAATAAAACATTCATTCATCTCTGGGAAACATCCATACACACTCATACACTACGGACAATTTAGCCTACCCAAGTCACCTGTACCATTTGTCTTTGAGAACATGCAAACTCCACACAGAAACGCCAACTGACCCAGCCAAGGCTCGAACCAGCAACCTCCTTGCTGTGAGGCAACAGCACTACCTACTGCGATACTGCGTCGCCACAAAACAAAATGACCAGACAAGACAATGAAACAACAAAAACAAAACAAAAAAACAAACCAAAAAAATTTAAGTCAATTAAAACGAAACAAGAAATTAAAAACAAGACAACACAAAAGACTAGTAACGTAACATAATGAAGCGAAACAAAAAAAAAAGACAAGACAGATAGACAGACAGGGACAAAACAAAGCAAAAAATAAACTAATGAAACAAATGAAACAAAACAAATGAAAAACAAAATGTAACGTAATGTAACAAAACGAGACAATATAAAACAAGACAGACAAACAAACAAAATAGACCAACTATAACAAGACAAAACAAGACAAGACAAAAAAAATTATGTAACGTGGAAAAGACAAGACAAGACAGACAGACAAAACAACAAGACAAGACAAATGATACGAAACAAAACAAAACACAATTAAACAAAACGAGACAAGAAAAAAACAAAAAAAAAACAGAAATAAAATGAAAAAAAAAATAGACAAAAATAAAAACAAAACAAGACAAGACAAAAACAAAAGATCAACAAAAACAAAAGACAAAAAAATTAAACTAAAATGCAAAACAAACAAACAAAAATATGTTCCCGTGTTCCTAGTCACACAATAATATATGATCTCCTACAAAGTTACTGTGGAACTGTGGTGCTTTTAGAATAAATATATAAAACCCGCGCACACTCAAGAAACAAAAACCTGACGTGCCTCGCAGAAAACAAGAGAGCATTGTTGGCATCTGCGCTCCGTATGGAGGATGTTAGTGGGGTTGTGACAGGAACACGAGCGGCGCAGACTGACAGTTTGAAGAGTTTTACCTGCAGGGTCTGGAGCTGATCACAGATCTGACAAAACACCATCACCACAGACGCTCTAAGCCTCCACACACATCCACAATACACACTCATCACTGACAGCCCTCTCTCATCTCACATTAAACACACACACTCACGCCCATGGCCGGCTGTGAGGTCATTAAAATTTATACTCAACAACAAAAACTGAAGATGAATGAATGAAAAATGATTTAAAGTCATGTCGTTGTAATACAGCCTCTGCTTCGTCATGTTGCCAGATATAGTTATAATAAGCATCATGCCATTCGACTTGCTTTTAAAGAAATTCTTTGGAAACAGATTCATTTTACAACTCTGCCAGAGTTAAATAGATGAGATTTTTAGTTTCTGAATCCATTCAGTTCATTTCTGGGTCTGGCGGAAGCACTTTGTTCACACTTTATTTTTATGGTCCATTTGTTGAATTTAAGTTACATTAGCCGCATTTCCACTGTCGGCCCAGTGCGAGCCAGGGCTTTTATCGGGCAGGGCCAGGCCAATCGTCTAGGAGGTTGAGCAGTGAGGCCGAAATCATGTCGCGTTTCTACTGTCAGGCTAGTAGTTCGCAGCGTGTCACGCAAACGTCGCCCCCAGAACGTCCCCCGAACTAAACATCAAACAACCCGCCCACTTCAGCGGGAATCAGGCAGATAAAGCACACCATTGGATCATCACCATTAAAATAAATAGAAAGAAACAAATGACACGTTACTGTACAACATTTACAGTATTTGTCTATACGCACATGCCTGTGTGTTCTCATTCATCATATTCATTTACTCGCCGACCGACTGTTGGCATTGAAATCGAGTGGTCTCGCCACTAACGGAGCAACCCAGCGCAGTGAGCGCACCATCCATAATATAAACCACAGAAATTCTCAGTTAATAACTTGGTAGAAAATGTATTTTATAACATCCTTATTTAGATAGTTGCAATCAAACATTCAGCCCAAATGCTCCAGGGAGACCTGAAACATCAATGTTTCCTTATAGGTTATATGACACTTAATAGGTGATTCCCTTTTATTTAAGGATGTTGCATATTACATCTTAACCAGTTAAGCTCTGGGGCTATTTGGAGTGATTCCGCCTGAATTTGGCATTCCGATTTAAAAAGCTTCCCATACCCACATGCAGAAGTGTAAATACAAAAGTTTGGTATCATTTGAAAGGAAACCCCTTCAAATTTCATAAAATACATTTGAAATTGAAAACAATTGTTGTATATATTGTCTTTGTTACAATAAACACACAAAAAAGGCATTTTTTTTTTAAACTGAAGTTTGGAAATGTGTTGGAAATTGTTTCCAGCACCCTGGAAACAGTTTTATTTTTTTCCAGCAGGTGTCAGCAAACACACAGGAAAAAAAAAATTCTTTATAATAATTTATGTAAGAGTTATTCTATTCCAATTGCAAGGAGGAAAAAATGCCATTTTTTTAGCCTACCTATTTTTGAAGTCTCCCCATACCCTCATACAGTCCAATAAATGCAATATCTCAATTTCATTTTATAGAAAACCCTTTGAAATTACAAAAAGAAACTGCTGAAAGTGATAAATATTATTATATATGTTGTTTGTCCTTTGATGAACCACCTCAACACAAACCGCTTTTAGTTTTTTGTTCTAAAGCCTGATTTAGAAAGTGTATAACTCAGGCCCTGTATGCTCAATCACACAGCAGATTGTTTTGATTGTTACCAGTATTTGTCAGGAGACACTAGAAAAAAGAATTTTGTTTTTATCATGTAGTATGCAAAAATTATTTTTTTAGTTCAACTGAAGGGTGGGAAATCACAACTTTTTTGCTTCTGATCTGCTACATCAGCGTAAAGCCTTTCCAATGATATGTAATCCATCTGAATAGGCCGCAGCTATAATATTTTTTTCTGAATTTTGGAATATCATGACCCTAATTTGTTGCATTTGGCACTTAAAAGACACAGCAGGGGTTTACTGATGCACACATCCTCAGAAAACGGACTCATTTTGTAGAGAACAACCTAATGTAAAAGAAGATGTAGCTTGTTTAGCTATCTGTGCTATCTCCAGCAGCTCACAGAGGAAATAATCAATAATTTCTCTTGTATGTTTACAAAAAACGAGTTTATGCTTTATGATTCATTTGAAGACTGTTGGTTATGTGATTGTAAATCCATAAAAATAACGATGGATCCTTATTATTGGGAATGAGAGCTTTGATTTGATGTATTCAAATCACGCAGAGTTTAGTAAAGGAAAATGTTAAGTATTTCACCACATAAGAGCAAGTAATAAAATATAGCAAATATTTTGTAGCGTTAAGCAGCTTTTCACTAGTAAAGCTCTTCATGTATTTAAAATTTCATTTTTAAATTTTACCACATCATAAAAAAACATAAACACTTGTTTAAGGACACGGAACTCATTTTGTATTTGCAGTTTTCCCCGATGCGTTTGTAAAGAGGCGCAGGACTGGATGACAGAAAAAAAGTTAGCCTTGTTTCTGCTTTCACTCACCCAAAAAATGCTGTTAGCACAATTTGATTAATATAATCATATCCAAATACTTTATAAATAATATTTCAGAACTCATCCAGTGTTTATTATTTTTAGAAAATATGTAAAATCTTTTTTCAGATAGGCCTTTATAAAATGAAAGTTTAATATGGCTTTAAAACAGTTTGATTTATGTTTGTATTTACCTAAATTGTTATAGCTAGCTTTTGTTTGTTTTATATTGGTTTATTTTTTTATGTGATTTTATTATATCCAATATTTGTATTTATTTAAATTATTTCAACATAGCTTAGGCTATTTTATCAATATATGACACTATTAAAAAAATAATAATAAAGTTTTATGTCTTTCTGTTGTATTCATATTGTGTATTATCTCCAGAAAATTAAAAATAAAAATAAGAAAGAAGCCGCTCACGGCATCAACAGAGCTGTAAAGGGAGCGCTCTTTTGCTC